CGGCCGCCTGCTGCCGCAGCCGCGCCGCCTGCTGCGCCTACCCCTTCGCCGTGCGCACCTTTGTCTTCGCCATGCCGCTGAGCATGGCCTGCCCCATCATGCTGGAGAGCCTCCTCTTTGACCTGCGCAGCCATAACCCCACGCTCTTCGTCTACTTCTACCGGCGCTACTGCTGGCTGCTGGTGGTCTTCAACGTCAGCAAAATCCCCGAGCGGTTCCAGCCGGGGCTCTTCGACATCGTGGGGCACAGCCACCAGCTTTTCCACATCTTCACCTTCCTCAGCATCTATGACCAGGTGCACTATGTGGAGCACGGGCTGGCCGAGTTCCTCAAGGCACCCCTGGCTGCCCCCACCTACCTGGGCACTGTGGGGTATATGCTGCTGCTGACGCTCTGCCTGGCCATGGTCGTTAAGAGGTTCCTCAGCGTCGCAGACCTCTGCAAGCAGGACTAGCTGGGCCGGCAACCCTTGGGACAGCAACCATCGTACCAGTGACCCTCAGACTGGCGACCCTCAGACTGGCCCCACCGTGTCCTGAAGATGCTGTGAAACCTGGGGGAAACGCACCTGTGGAAGAGCCGGGTCCCTTTCACGGAGAGTTGCCGGAGAAAATGACCATGGCGGAACTGCTCGTGCTCTTTAAACTACTAGGTTACCAGGGGAAGCAAGCAAACGCTTACTGGTACGTTGCTGCTTAGAGTATAAGCTGAAATAATTTAGCTCTGCTACTAGGAAGAATGCATGAACTGTGAATGCCACTTACTGATTTCGTAACAATTAGGTTTAAACTAGCTCTGTATATACATATATATTTATATATCTAGCTATATATTTATTAGCTACGTATATATGTGTATATATATATACACCTGAAGACACTCGTGCAATGATTACTCATAGACTTTTAATCAACTCCCGTGTGAAATTTCCTAGCAGATTATGCACTGATATTTATCTTCCTCTGTGATAACTGTAACGGGCCTTTGCAGCCACATACTGGATTTTAAATGCAAACAAATCGATAGCTATCTATAGTTTTTAAGGTCTTGCAGCCTTTTCAGCCAGGGAACAATAGATTTAACAGAGAGGAAGACCAGCTGTGAATTATTACAGAATTACCAGCTGATGGAGAGACTTTAATTGGACAGGCAGCAAGCGGTTGGTGTAGCCACTTGGGTACTAAAATAAAATAGAGGGATATGTAAAATAACTGAACCAGAAAGGGGTCAAGCTAATTTGGAGCAGGGGCGGGGGGAGAAGAAGGGCACTGCATAATGGCATGGCTCTTCCCCCAGCACGTCAGGAACATCTGTTGTGTTAAGGGGGTTGCTAAGGGGCCCCTTTATCTTCCCTGGTAAATCGCCCCCAAATCAGCCCTTTAGAGTCAAAGTCAGACTTTCTATAAGCCCCTGCCAAGCTCGGTGGGAGTTCTGTGGATGTAAAGAGAGTAACTGATGCGTGAGGTCTCATTCTGGATCTTTTAAAGAATTACGTGGAACTGGTTTCTTCTGCTCTTTAATTAGAGCACTCTGTCAGATTTACCATCCTAAAATTAGTTGCAGAATAAGGTACTGCTGAATCTGAGTTCAGGACCTAAAATCTGTCTCTATAAGTACCGGGTACTGGCACTTTCTCATCATTCCCCACCTTTTCCTATTTTGATTAGTTGTGGCTGCAGCTGGGTGTTTTGAAGTCCTCTTTCAGAAGCTTTGAGGGAGTTCAAAGACAAGAATTATGAGATATTTTCCAAAGCAGTATCTTTTCACAGCAACCCAGGTATTATCCTTCTCACACGACAAACTAACTATAGATTGAACTTGCTGTCTATATAAAGAGACATTTTTTATGTGCAGATTTTAAACAGATGCATTTTGATTTTGTCTGACAGAACAAGTAACAAGTATGCAATAATATTACCCAAGGGGATTACAACTTGAAGTTCAGGTGAGAAACTGCTTGTATACCCCGTTTTGAAAAAGAAGGGTGGTACTTCCTTAGGAAATGCTGGTGTCATACTGCACAATAGTGTAGTGGCTCTTCAACTCAGCCTCTTTGCCCCTATTGTGGAAATACATTTCTGGTTGGGTCTTTCCCATTTTCACGGACATGGCATCCGAACCCCAAGAAAATGTTTTGAGTCTAGTCCCATAGTCTTCTGTAAGACAAATCCCCCTTTGTTTATAGCGGGAATACAGGAAGGACTATAGCTAGTGATTATGAGGTCAAATCCTTGATATGGGTCAGAATCATCACAGAAAACAGTAATTGATATGCCCTGTACCAATGGCAGCTTTGTGAGAATTTCCCTATGGAAGTGCGCAAACTAAAAGAAAATTACACCTATTTAATTTTCTCTTTTATCTCAAGCCATTTTAACTATAATGGTTTGGATCTTTTAGATTCTCAGGGAATGATGAGGATGGCTTAACAAAAATATGTATTCTTTGCCAGCCACAATTCTGCTAGGATGTAATTTGTGGTAGGGTCACATGTGGTCTCTTAAAGAAATTGGCGAGAATTTTCTGAAACAGCAGTTCCCAAACTGTGGCCTCTTGAGTTATCACTGATGGGCCATAAAAAACAGCATGGCCCTGCGTGGCTGGCTGTGTTCTGTTTTCATTTGCCAACCTGCATTAAAAGAAAATGAAAACTACATGAAGTATTTCTAATTTTACATATTTTCATTAACTTTTGTCATAAATATGGCATTGCTTTATTCAGCTGCCAATAAAGCAGAAGATGATCTGCACCACTGGGAGAGGAGGCTGGTTCACAATGCTGTTATGCTTTGATATGTGCTTTATATTGTGAAAAAAACCTGGAAACTCACAATAGAAAGCAAATGGATCAAGACCTGTAACGATGTCATCTTATGAATTTCCACAACTGCAAAAAGAGGCCAAAATCTTTGAGATGTACTGTATTCAAGTTAAAATAATAGGGGCATAGTATTTAGAGCCCAATGACTCATCCAAGTTTCAAAACTAATTATGTGGAAAGGGTTTGCCTGGGAGATGCCACTAGCATGTCCAACCAGCAATTAAAACTAAGAAAGAAATCAAAAAGGCCAGGGACAGCAAATCTCAGGACTAGAAGAGAGCTCAGAAACAAGCAACACTAAAAGCCAAATGTAAAAAAAGGCTTTTAAAGCATACTGTATAAAGAATTATATTTGTGCTTGTCAGTCACAATGTAGAGGACATCTCAAGAGGCAACGTCAAAAAAGGCTGTTGCTAACTTGTAAAAATACATTTGATATTTGCAGTTAGGCCACACAGGGTCGTCTATATATATCTCAACGACAGATAACAGTATAAAGGTTGGATTGCAACCAGCTGCAATTTTACTGGAATCTTACTGCTGTTGTAAGAGTTGCCTGTGAGCCCCAGTCATGCTGCAGATTTGATACCTGGCTCTGATACTAAGAATATTGCTTCATTTAAAAGTTTCTACTGGCAAAATCTTGAGGTATGTGTATGGGCCTGAGCACTTTGTGGAATTATTTGTAAATGCTGGTTGCAAGTACTGCTCTCTGAGCCACTGTAAGCAGGCTGTATCAATCAGGAGTGAATGGGTGCACGAAGATGTGATTAGATTTTAAGAGTTCTAATGAATGTTTGTTTGTTTGTCTGTTTAAAATGTGGCTACAAATTAAAAAGTTACAATAAGTGTGGAGAATATCTAGGGAAATGCTACCTGGGTGTCTGTGTTTATTCAGTGAAGGACATGTACGTAGATAATTGCTCCATTTGCCATGTCCGATAGCCAGTCTCCATAAATATGGACGGAACAAAACTGAGTTAAAGAGGTTAAAAGTGGAACAAGATATCTATAATTATAGTGCTTGAATTTGCTCATGTAGAAGTGAATGTCAGCATTTGTCTGGCTTGTAAGGGAGCGGGATCTCTTTTTGGTGTGAAAGCACACATGGCTGAACGTCTGTAATTGTGTCCAGAGCTTAGGCAGGAGGTCTAACCTGCAGACTAGAAAACAAACTTTTTTGCATAAGTACCTGTCATAGTGGTTTTATTGCCTGGGTACCTGCCATAAGGTCTAGACTGTGGACTCCACAGCTCATCTTTAAAACCCAAACGGGTCTTCAGGCCTTTTGTGGTAGAACCTGTGTGGGGATGGAGGACGAGGTGAGGACTGGAGCACAAGGGGATGGCCTGAAAATGCCTATGTGTCTTTCCATCTTTGGCCAACACTGACCTTCAGACTGACATACCCATGCCAATGTGAACGGACTGTTGATGGGGCCAGTTCCCAGGGTGCTGGTGGCATGGACAACCTCCCCTTGCAATCAGCATGCGCCCAGAACTACAGTCTACACATTGGCATATATTCAACAAGCCTAGCTTCTGGGCACTTCCAAGTAACCTGTAAGCTTCAAGCTCATCTTCATGTAAGATTGATATACCTGGTCTGTAGTAGTTATTCCCGTATTCTGTGGTGATACACTATTTCTTCTTCTGCAGTGTATTCCTTTGAATGTCACTATGCAGGATATCTGTGCAGCTCTGAGCTGCTTCATTAGCAAGACCTGGAGCCTGCAGTCTGGAACAAAGGGCAAGGTTTCATCTGCATGCTGCACTTGTAGAAATTTAGCAGTTAAAAGTAGAAACACGTTGTTTTTTGCTAAAGTGATAGTTTTTCTTAGCTGTCCAAGTGTTGTGCTTATTATTTATGTACTGAATCCAGCTACTATGTTGGGTTTTTGTCGACAGTGCACCTGCAGAAAATGACAGTATGAAAGTTTTACTTCATGTTTGATTAAACTCTCTGAGGCAGCACATTCATAAAGTATTATTGCACTTAACTCAGTTGATTACCATCCACATGCCTTACAGAAGCAAATCATACCTGTAGTAATTGCCCAGGTTATACTGTTTTTCATTGCCTATGAGAGTAAAAATGACCAAGTGGCCGGTAACAAGCTGAGGAGTCAGGCACTCCTGGGTTCTTGTCCTTGCTTTGCCATTACCTGTTCTGTACTCTAGGGCAAGTTGTTTAAACTGTGTTCATTTTGAATGAATTTAATTCATGTAAAACACTGGAATTGTACCAGGGTTGAATTTGACCCTCTGTGTCTCAGTTTCCACATCTGTAAGATGGGGAGAATATACCTTACCTACCTCGCAGGGTTGCTCTGAAGACTAGCTAATGTTTGTAAAGCACTTAAAAATGCAAAGACCCTCCTAGGTGCTAAGAAGAAATATTACTGAACTCCGGCAGAGAGAATGTTATATTTTTCCATCTCACAGGGAGAGGAACATGAACATTTCTAGATCATGAACTCTTGGGACACACCCTCGTCATTGCCATGCTCCTAGGAGGTTCACATCCTGTGTCCTTTGGAGCTGATGGCAAAATTTCCACTGGCTTCAGGCGGGGGGCAATCAAGACCTAAGCAGTAGTAAACAGGCTGGTGAAATGCTTAAGGGTCAGGAGTA